ATTTTTTTTTTTTTTTTTTTTTTTGTACCTGTTTACCAGGGTTTAAGCAAAGCCAAGGGGCATCAAAAAATAACACAAATTTCAGCCCAGCTGGCGTGGCTCAGCGGTTGAGCATCGACCTATGATCTAGGAGACCGTGGTTTGATTCCAGGTCAGGGCACATGCCCAGGTTGCGGGCTCAGTCCCCAGTAGGGGGGGTGCAGGAGGCAGCCAATCAATGACTCTCTCTCATCACTGATGTTTCTCTCTCCCTTTCCCTTCCTCTCTCTGAAATCAATAAAGATATATTTTTAAAAAACAAAAGCAAAAAACCCCCACAAATTTCATATGTTGCTGATGGAAGCATGAGCTGGTACAGCTGCCCTAGAGCTGTAGAGTTGCAGCACATGCCTCACAAGTCTTCTAAATGTGCATGCCCTTTAACCAAATATTTCTTATTCTTGGGATCTATTCCAAGGAAATAATCAGAAATGTAAATAAAGATTAAGATAAAAGATGCCCACTATGGTATTATTTATAGCAGCAAAACATCAGAAAGAACTATAATTTCCAACCAATAAGGAAATACATTTTCAATTAGGATACATATGATGGAATCTTAAGGAGCCATTAAAATTATGATGTAGATGTGATTTAATTGACATGAAAAGATATTCACAATATACTGTCAAGTTCAATCAAGCAAATTTTCATTGAGCCCCTACTATATAGAAGACCATGCCAGGCACTGAGGACATAGCAGTAAATTAAAAAGGTACAGTTCTTACCCTCATAAAGCTTATGACTGACGTGGAAAGTCAGATATTGAAGAAATAATGAGGTAAGTAATAACACTAAAGAGAAGCATAGGGTACCGTGAATAAAGCAAAGGGATCTAACCTAATCCAAGGGGATCGTGGGAGGCCCTCCTGAGGAAATGATGCTTACGTGGTAACGAAGGATGATCGGGAGTTAGGCAGGCAAACAGACAGAGAAGCGGAACATTTCAGGAAGATGAACAGCAATTTTTTAAAGTACACACATCAAAAAAGGCTATTCAACTGTGTATATATAAAATGAACTCATTAATGCTAAAAGCATATTTTGTACCTATTTATAAATACATTTAAATACAGGTATATATTTATAAATACAAAATCTGAAAGAATATAAATTATAATCTTATCTAGGTGTTGTAGTACATGTAACTTTTAATTATTTTTGCTTGCCTACATTTTCTAATTTTTTCTGCAGTAAACATATGTGATTAGTGGGTGGATGGATGAATGGATGGATGGATGGTAAACAGATGCAATGAAAGGCTTTGACTGGGCATCGTGTTAGATTGCTTTCTTCTCTCTCTCATTTTTTGTTTTTGTTTTTTAAATCCTCGCCAGAGGACACACTTCCATTTATTTCAGAGAGAGAGGAAGGGAGAGGGAAAGGGAGAGAGAGGAACATCGACGTGAGAGTGAAGCATCGATTGTTTGCCTCCTGCACACGCCTGACCTGGGATCGAGCCTGCAACCTGTGTATGTGCCCCGACCGGGAATTGAACCTGCGACCCTTTGGTATACGGGATGACGCTCCGACCAACTGAGCCACACCAGCCACAGCTATTGCTTTCTTCTCTTGATTCTTTCCTCCCTTCAATTACTAGAATCGAAGATCTGCCCCCAAAGCATCTTCCTCTCCATTTCTAAAATCACTTCATTTTGCTTCCACTACCCGAGAGGCAAATTCATTAGCAAAAAGCGGAGCCAACATTAGAGCTAGTCCAAGTCCAAACAGATTCTTATCACAACACTGGAATTTCCAAACCACACACACAGAGAAGAATGTCTGACAGAGATATTTATTAAAATTTTGGCTAAATACTTATTGCAGACAAAATGAAATGTGTTTTAAAAAAGAGATGGAAGAAGGAGAGGGGAAAAAATTTAAAACATTACTACTGTGGTTTGAGATTACTCCAAAAAGAATGCGGCTCCAAGTGTCCAGGTAGCGAAATCATCTGGCTCTGCAGGCTGCACTGTGAAATTCCTCGCCTAAGGTTCAAAGTGCGCTAAGAGTGGCTTGGTGCACTTAGAGATACAACTCTGAGCTGAGACCGGCTCTTTCACAGGATGAGCCATGACGGACACACATGTGAGGAACTCTCAGAACTTAAGTGCCAAGTTTCCCCAACAGGAACCACTCTTGCCCAGCTGAAGCTGTGTATTTAGGAAAAAAGTAAGGGCCTATACAAGCAAAAATGTACCTGCGCTCACCCATTCTCAGCAAGCCTATGTTCATGCTTTTCACCTCTACTTTCTGAGTCCTCAATGCCAGGCCCTGTGGTAGGCACTGAGGATTCAACAGTGACAAGACATGGTCCTCAAGTGCACAAAGCTCACAATCAAGTGTGACAGATATTTCATTCATTCATTTAAAAAATACAAGTCCTATTGTATATCAGTACTTCAGGATATAGTAACAAACAAGTCCAACAAGATCCCTGACTTCATGGAGCTTATAGTCTAGTGAGGAGAGACGCGTAAAAAACATGCAAATAACCAACCAACATGATTTTCAGATGGTGATAAATGTTATGAAAAAAATATAGTCAAGTTATGGGATAGAAAAGAGACTTAATGGGGAACTATGGCTACGGTGGTCAGAGGAGACCTCTAGGACACAGAGACATCTGAGCTGTAAACTGCAAGAGGAGCAGCCACCATATGAGACGCCTGAGTATGGGCACTGCAGACACCAGGAAACAGACAAGAATGCAGAGTGACAGTGACCACGCTCAGAGGAAGCACAGGGTACTTGGCGAGCACACGGAAAGGACATCTGATCCAGTCCACAGTCTCACCCAGCCCGGCTGGCCTTCAGTCAGCAGTGATTCATAGAGCGCTGCTCATACCTAGTTCAGGGGAGGTGCTGTGAGACACTGCAGGCCAGAAGGTCAGCCATGGGTTTCAAGGAATTCGGTTTCAGAAGTAAAGCATGGGAAATAGTTGGGCAAGGCTATTTGGCATGCTCGGGGAAGAGGAACTCCCTGGAAAGTTGGCAGAGATGCTGAAAATGAATGAACGATAGCGAATATTCCTGTCTTACTCTCCCCCACCCCCGGCCCCACTATCACCTCTCCCACACTCCTCTAAAGGCTAGAGGAGGCCCATGACCCCTGCCTCCCTCTAAGGAAGGGCTAGGGAAGGACAAGATGTGGGCCAACCAGTAGAGCACGAGGCCAGCCATCAAGAGGCCACGTTCCACTCATTCTCTGTATAACCTTGGACAAGTCTCTTCCCTTCTTTCCGCTTCAGTGTCCCCCATCTGCAAAATGAGAGATTGGAAGGCCTGGGGATGAACCCAAAAGTTTATTTTTCACAAGCTCCCCACATGATTATGATGCATGCCAAAGTTTGAAAACTAATGGACTACAGGATTCTACCTCTTTGCCTCATGGTGGACAAGGGGCTGCATACCCAACTAACCTGGCTGAGACTACGGCTCCATCAAGTCCTCCATGGTGCAAAGCACAGTATCTGGCACACAGAAGCTCCTCATGGTGTCACAGCCTTCTCTTTCCTCCCTCCCTTCATGCCACCACCCTCAATATTCTCCCAGGAGGGGGCTACAGCCTCGTAACTGTGGGTTATTGTTTCCCGTTACCATACCTGTGAACATTGCACAGAAGTAGGGGCTGCAGGCTGCCAGGACCACACGGTGGGCTTCTATCTCAACATCTTCTGCCACAATCATCACGTCACACAACAGCTGCTTACTGTAAAACACCAGTGAGGGGACAAGATGGGTCACAGCACCAACACCCTCCCCAGTCATACAAGGTTATTTTTCCCTCCACCCAGACTCCACACCATCACCATATAAGGCCGTCATAGAGACCTGCCCTATCTTGAGTTAAGCAGTGGAATGGGCTCATCGACTTTTCCAAGACCCCGACAAGCCTGACATTCCTGCTTTCCTAAGGTACACAGAGTGATCCAACTCGTCTGCGGGTGCAAATTCAGAGTTCCTTCGCTTGTCTTCCCCTCTCTGCTCCCCACTTCATCAGCTCTGACTGAGACAGGAGTACAGCAGCTTAGGGAGCAGTGGGAAAAGCCTGGGGCTGCCAGTCAAGTGACTGAATGAATGCCAAGGGGCATAAGCATGCCACCGAGGTATGCCACCGGCGAGAACAAGTATTAACAATTCCCCAAGAGACCCTCTGCCTATGCAATACTGTTAAGAGGCCAGTGAGATCTGGAGGACTCACATATTTCTTCTCCCACCCAGATTCAACACTATCACCAAGAAGACTCTGCCTGCACGCTATGTTCCCTAAGGACACTGCACAAACACTAATCATTGCACTCATTAAGAATACTGTAACTACCTTTTTACTTGTCACTCCCACTACACCGGGGACTCTGAAAGGGACTTGTCTTAGCTGTTCTTATATCCTAGACATCTGGCTGCATGCCTAGCCCACAGTAGGCCTTAAATTTTTACTAAATAATTGAATGAATTTTGAAATGGGATCAATCCACACTCATAGGTAGAATAGATATTTGGCTACTTTGGAGACTGAAAGGGTGCTGCAAGGCCCTGTCAACCCAAGAATTTTTTCGCTACCAGCCTTCCAGTTTCTCATCATGCCTGTTATTAATATAATGGTTAACATTAATGGAGTTATGTGCCAGGCACTGCTCTGAGCACTTTTTTGCATGTATTACTTTATTTAATCCTCTCTACAGCCTTATGAGGTAGGGCTATTGTTAGGTCCCACATTACAAAAAAGAAAATTGAGGCCCAGAGAAGGTAAGTAACTTTCCCAAAGTCACACAGAAAGAGAGCAGTAGAGACAGGATTTGAATGCAGGCAGCTGAGCCCCAGAACCCGTGCTCCTAATTTCTATGGTATCTTGTCACCACTAGTCCCTCCTTTAGACTGAAGCACTATAGGTGGGAAGGAAGACAGGCAGGACAAACACATTTCAACTGTAATCCGTTGGTAGTAGTTAATTAGAACACTATAGTGGAATGGGAAGTCTGAGGTCATGACTGGGTTCCATGTAAGAGTGATGAATGTAATGAATCTCCCATGGTTGATAAATAGAAGAGAAAGTACATATTTGCCATCCCTGGTGTATCATAGTAAACCATTGCCAGGTACTAAGACATTATTCCAGGTTCACTTTTCAGAGAAATAGAATCATAAAGCCTGAAAAGGTTGGAGGTGCAAATCGCTCAGAGATTATCTGGTTATGAAGCTTGAGAAGCCTGAGTCTTGAATCCAGACACAGTACCACACTGCCTCATGACTGGGTGACACTTGTATGGAAAAAGACAGAAAACAGGTTAACTCAAACAGGGGAAAGTGGTCAGGGAGGTTTAACATATGGAATAAAGTATCAATGAGGGGGCTTCTGGGAAGGGTGACACCTCTGAGCACCAAGAGGCAAAACCTGGGGGCTGGGACCTCACCCTGCAGTAGCCAGCAGACCCTATACACAAACTTTAAGCCAGCTCAACTGGAAACATAACATGACCTTAACTGGCTATGAGAACAGGGACAAGTGACCTCACCACAGTTTTCTCATCTTTCTTAGCTACCTTGGAACATACATCATGGGGGCCAAATGAGTGTGCAGATGTCACCTGAGAACAGATTGGTGGGGTTTTTTTGTTTGTTTTGTTTTTGTTTTGTGTTGTGTTGTGTGTTTTTTGTTAATCCTCATCTGAGGATACTTTTTCCATTGCTTTTCAGGGAGGGAGAATGAGAGAGAGAGAAACATCAATGTGAGAGAGACACATTGATTGGTTACCTCCAGCATGCGCCAACCAGGGGGCGGGGAGTGAACCTGCAACCCAGGTACATGCCCTTGACTGGGAATCAATCCCTTGGCCCTTCGGTCTGTGGGCCGCTGCTCTAATCACTGAGCCAAACTGGCCAGGGCATTTAGTTGTACTTTTGATGTGGTTGCGGGAGGATGTGAGTACCACATTTACCTACACCACCATCTTGAACAAAGTCTGTGCAGTCAACTGATTTTTTATAAGGGTGCCAAGACCATTCAACTGGGAAAAAATAGTCTTTTCAACAAATAGTGCTAGGACAACTGGATATCTACAGGCAAAAGAATGAAGTTGGACCCCTACCTCACACCACATATAACAATTAATTCATAATGAATCAAAGATCTAAATTTAAGAGCTAAAACTATAAAACTCTTAGAAGAAAACATAGGGGTAAATATTCATGACTTTAGGTAAGACAGTGGTTTGTTAGATATGACACCAAGCGCACACACAAAAAAACAACAAATAAATTAGACATCCAAATTTACAACTTTTCTTCATCAAGGGACACAATTAAGACATCAGGAAAGTAAAAAGACAACCCACAGAATGAGAGAAAATTTTTCAACTCATATATCTGATAAGAGGCTTGTATATAAAATAGAGAAAGAACTTGAACACTATAACTCAATAATAAGTAGACATATAATACAATTTTTAAATGGGCAATGGATCTAAAGAGATATTTCTCCAAATAAGATACAGAAATTCCAACGATCACATGAAAACATACTCAACAACATTAGTCATCAGAGGAATGCAAATCAAAACCACAACGAGATACTGCCTCACACATACTAGGATCCCTATAATCAAAACACACACAAAATAACAAGTGTTGGTCAGGATATGGAGAAATTGGAACTTCCATACACCACTGGTAAAAATGTAAAATGGTGCAGCTGCTTTGGAAACCAGTCTGACAGTTCCTCAAAAGGTTATACATAGAATTATAGGATCCTGAAATCCCACTCCTGGGTACACACCCAAGAAAAATGAAAACATACATCCACACAAAAACTTATACATGAACTTTCATAGCAGCATTATCTGTAACAGCCAAAAGTCAAATGTGGTCTATCCATACAATCAACTCTTAGCAATAAAAAGGACTGAAATACTAAGATATGCAACATGACAAACCTTGAAAACATTATGCTAAGTGAAAGAAGCCGGTCACCATAAACCACATATTGTATGATTCCAAAACAGGCAAATGTATAGAGGCTAAAAGCAGATCAGTGATGGCCTAAGGCTGGGGGAGGGGGGAGGGGGAATAGGAAAAACGGGGTTATTGTTAAAGTATAGAGGGTTTGAGGGGGTGATGAGAATGTTCTAAAGTTGTTAGTTGCATGACTGTGAATATACTAAAAGCCATTAAATTGTACACTTTAAATGCGTGAATGGATGGCATATAAATTATATCTTGATAAAGCTGGTACCAAAAAAGAAAAAGAAATCAGTGTGCTAAGATGGTTATCGCAGGCTCTAAAGGCAGAGAGGCAGACCATCAAAAAAAGAAAAATATGAGGACAGGGAGCTGTTTGCAATGGTGAAAAGAGAGGTTAGAACTGTCAAGATGACCTAGAAAAGACTCTCTCCTTTTCAGATCTGGTCAGGATGTGCTATTCCAAACAGGACTGTATCCCCTCTAGCTGGCTGGATGGTCGGGACTCAAAGAGCCATTAGTGCTCTGCTGGCCCAGAAGCGGCTGCTGGTCCAAGCAGCGCAGAGCTCTGAACTGCAACAGGAGGAGGGAGGCTGGGTGGTTACTATGCCAACAGCCCATTCTCCACTATGGAAGTAAAAAGAATCGGAAACTCATGAATTGGATGACTCATAAATGGCAAAAACCATGTGTGCTTAAACTAAAATAGCTTAAAATTGAGGGAGGGAGATGTGGAAACAATGCAAGAAACAAGCCTAGACCTCTGGAATATCACGTAACGTTTTATTATCTTAATCTCTGTAGGGCGAGATGCTTTACCCAGGTTTTCACCAAAATAAAGTAGGCCTCTCTCCAAGTCCCATTAAACTCGCACAGATCAATAAAGTCTATTCAGACCCTTCTCTCAGCCTCACCCATTCCACTCTGGTTTTTAAAATGAGCCGTTTAAATACCTTAGAATTTGATGTAACCTTTGACCACCACAGAATGCAAGCTCTGATGAGGGCAAGACCGATTCACTTATCTACGGCCATCCTCCTGTAACTGAGCACAGTGCTCAGCAAATCACTGTCATCATAATAGCTAACGCTTAAAGAATGTTCACTGTGTGCCGGGGCCTCCTAACAATATCTAAGGAATAAGTATTATTATTATTATTATTATTCTACATGCTGTTGAAATTGGCAATTCTACTTCCAGGAATTAATTCAACATTAATAATCATGAGTGTGCACAAGTATTTAACAGTAATATGTGTGCTATCACTGTTCTAAGCACTTTACTTATTAATCTTCTTCACAAGCCAGCTAGACTGGAACTATTATTAGCCTCATTTTATGGTTGGCAAAAGTGAGGTCAGGGAAATTAATTAACTTGTCCAGGGTCACACAGCCAATAAGTGCCGGAGCCAAGATTTGAAACCAGGCTGCCTGGCTCCAGAGTCTGTGCTTGTGACCACTATGCTATATTGCCGCAAACACAACCACGGCAGGTGTTATTTTCATGTGGGACTGGAAAACCTAGACATCCAACACCAAGAAACTGTTTTTAAAAAAATAAACCAAAGAGAGAATATCATTTATCCACTTAAATATCATTGTAAAACAGTTAGTGACATAGAAAAACTTGTTCAATATAATGGCATGAGAAAAAATCTAGTTGAGACATGTGAAGAAGAAAAAAGATATTCTCCAAAGTGTTAACAATCGTTACCACTGTGTATTAAAATTATAGATGACTTTTTGCTCACCTGTA